CTTTTCATTCTTGGTATTGGTTAATTATGCCTGCTCATTTTTCTTGATCAATCTCATCAGAGGGTTGTCAAAACTACTAGTCTTTTTGTAGAAATAACTTTTGTTTTTGCTGACCGTATTTCATTATTTTCTGCACTTACATTTACCCTGGCTTCCTTTTGTTTTCTTTGTTCTTTTTCTAGCTGCTTGAGATGGGTGCTTACTTATTACTCTCAGTGTTTTATCTTTTCTAATATAAGCATTATAATCCATAAGCTTTCCCTAAGTCTTGTTGCAGCCGTATCCCATGTTATTTTAATATGTAGTATTTTCACTCGCATCCAGTTAAGAATCTTTTTTTTAAAAAATATTTTATTTATTTATCTTTAGAGGGGAAGGGAAGGAGAGAGGGAGAGAAACATCAATGTATGGTTGCCTTTTGTGCGTCCCCTGCTGGGAACTGGCCTGCAGGGAACTGGTCTGCAACCCAGGCATGTGCCCTGACTGGGAATCGAACCGTGATTGTCTGGTTCGCAGGCCCGCGCTCAATCCACTGAGCCACACCAGCCAGGGCTAAGAATCTTTGATAATTTCCATTATGTTTTCTTTTTTGATCCATCCATTATTTTTAAATGTACTTCTTAATTTCCAAAACACATGGGGCTTTTGAAATTGTCTTTTTTTTTTTTGTTATTGATCCTTGGTTTATTTGCGCTATGGTCAAAAAATTGTACTCTGATTTCAGACTCGAACTTTCTTGAGGTTTACTTTTCCTGTAAATATTTCATGTGTCTTGAGGACAGCAGTTCACACTTGAGGCCGTGGTGCTCTATCTAAGTCCATTAGACAAGTTTCTTAACCCTGTCCTCATTGAATATGTGTCTGCTTGTTCTACCAAGGGATGTGTTTGAAAATCGCCTACTATAATTGTGAATCTGTTTATTTCTCTGTGTAGCTCTCTTCTTTGTGATTCTTATATTTTAAGACTGTATTTGCATGCAAATTTGAAGTTGTTCTGTCTTTCTGGTGAGCTGGACCATTTTCATTATGAGGTGATCTCCTTTATCTCTAGTGATGGTTTTTTTCCCTGACATTAAAATAACTGCACCTGTCTTTTGCTTGTTAGCCTTTGAATCCTGTATTTCCCCCATAAATTTACTGTCACTCTTAGTAGCCTATGTTTTGGAAGTGTCTCTTGTGGTTACGTCTCATAAATTACACACAGTTGGATTTTATCCAGTATGAGAAACTTGGTATTTTAAGCACAACATTTAGTCCAGTTGCATTTATTAAATTCTAGGAGGAATTTATATTTGCCGTCTGTTTGTCCCACCTATCCTGTATTTATTTTTCTCTCCATCCTTGCTTACATTAAGATCGAGTGAGTTTTCTTATTCTACTTTTGCCCTCTAGTAATTTGGATAAATATTATCCACTACACTTCTATTCTTTTAATGTTTACCCTGGTGATGGATTAATTCATCCAAGTGGAGTGTGCTTGGTATCTATCTTCACTTTCCTCCTGGAGCATATGAGGATCTTAGAACACTAACTCCACCCACCTTACATGCTGCTGTTGTTGTGTATTTCAGCTCTTTTTCCCAGAAGACATGGTATCGTTGTGTATTATCAATGTTCTTCATTGTTCTTTATTCCCTATTGCACTAGACCCCACCTCTGATTGCTGTCCTCCTGCCTGAAGTGCCTCCATTGGAACTTCCTCGAGGCAGGGTTTGCTAGTGATAAAGTCTTAATTTCTGTACTTGTAAATGTTATTATTTCACTTCTTTCTGGCAAGATATTTTCACTGGGTACCTAGTTTCTGAAAGAAATTTTCACTGGGTATATAATTCTCAGATGATGTTTATCTTCTCTCAGGACATTGGAGATGTATATGTACATGTACATGTATATGTACAGAATTCCTCTGCCTTCTGGCTTCCATTGCTCTTGATAAAAACTCAAGTATAAATTTGTCACTCCTTTTTTCTGTGTGCCAGACAGAAGCCTTTGGACTTTATTCTGAGGGAAATAGGGAGTTATAAAAGGCTTTGACACAGTGGGGGGCCCAGTCAGATCTGCCTTTTAGAAAGTACACTCTGGACTTCCAGCCAAGATGGAGGCATAGGTGGAAACATTGTGCCTCCTTGAACACTAAGTTTAAAAACAACAAAATTTTAGTAACAAAAACACAACCAAAACACAAAAAATTGAACTGTACGGAAGTCCGACAACAACGAACCCTTCAGCCAGACTGGTAAGAGGGGTGGAGTCAGAGGCTGGGTGGGGAGGGTCGGTTACACAGGAAAAAGCGGCAGGACCAGATGGGCTCAAGCACGCAGGTGGCGGTTGGCGGATCCCAGGCGTGGGGTGGCAAAGGGTGGACCCAGTGAGGGCGTAAGGCAGCTGGCTGACCGCAGCCATACATTCACACTCAGATAAACCAAGCAAAGGAGCGAGCAGTGAGACAGACCGAGCAGGCTAGGACCCCAGCGATGGGAATTAAAGCCTAAAAGCACTGACTGGAAAAGCTTTCGGGGTCAAGGTGCCAGGAGAAGCTCCCAGGCTCACAGAGAATTTGTTGGACAGACTCACAGGATCCTGGAGGGTGCACAGGCCCACACACCTGGGAGCCGGCACCAGGAGGGCCCAGTTAGCTTGTGGGAAATAGCAGAGGGGCCTGAAATCTGAGAGAGAGCTGAACAAACGCCATTGCCCCTCTCTGACCACCCCCTCACCACATACAGCAGCACAACCCAGCAAATGGGTTGCTCCACCCTGTGAACACCTAAGGCTCCGCCCCTCATACATAACAGGCAGGAACAGACCAAAACATTATGGCTCAAGCAGAAAAAGAGCTCAAAGCCCCAGAACCAATACTTTTATGCAATCAAGAAATAGCCAATCTATCAGATACACAGTTCAAAACACTGGTGATCAGGATGCTCACAGAACTGGTTGATTTGAGTCACAAATTAGAGGAACAAATGAAGGCTAAACTAATTGAAATGAAGGGAATTGCACAGGAAACCAATAGTGATGGAAAGGAAACTGGGACTCAAATCAAGGGAGTGAACCAGAGGGAAGAAAAAAATGACCAAACAGAAAAGAATGAAGAAACAAGAATTCGAAAAAAATGAGGAGAGATTAGGAACCTCCAGGATATCTTTAAACATTCCAACATCTGAATTACAGGGGTACCAGAAGGGGAAAAGGAACAGCAAGAAGTAGAAACTTTATTTGAACAAATAATAAAGGAGAACTTCCCCAATCTGGCAAAGGCAATAGACTTCCAGGAAATTCAGGAGGCTCACAGAGTCCCAAAGAAGTTGGACCCAAGGAGGAACACACCAAGGCACATCATCATCATTACATTAGACAAGATTAAAATGAAGGAGAGAATCCTAGAAGCAGCAAGAGATAAGGGGACAGTCACCTACAAAGGAGTGCCCAATCAGAAGGTCTGATTTCTCAAGAGACCTTACAGGCAAGAAGGGGCTGGAAAGAAGTATTCCAAGTCATGAAATCCAAAAAACTATAACCAAGATTGCTCTATCCAGCAAAGCTTTCATTTAGAATGGAAGGGCAGATAAAGTGCTTCTCAGATAAGAGCAAATTCAAGAAGTTCATCATCACCAAGCCCTTATGATATTGAAATGTTAAAGGGACTGACCTAAGAAAAAGAAGATAAAAAAGATGAACAGTGAAAGGACAGCAAACTCACAGTTATTAACAACCACACCTAAAACAAAAGCAAACTAAGAGGACAGCTAGATCAGGAGCAGAACCATAGAAATGGAGATCACAAGGAGGGTTAGCAACAGAGGAGTGGGAGGAGGAGAGAGGAGGAGAAGGTACAGAGAATAAGTAGCATAGATGGTAGGTAGAAAATAGACAGGAGGGAGGGCAAGAATAGTATGGGAAAGAACTTGTGACACATGGACATAAACTAAAGGGGGGAAATGGTGGGGGAGGGGTGTGCAGGGTGGAGGGGAATGAAGGGGGAAATGGGACAACTGTAATGGCATGATCAAGAAATTTTTTTTTAAGTACATGGGCATTATGTGGATAGTGGGTCGGAGGGTATGGCAGCTTCGGGAGAAAGTCATTGCTGAAGTCCAGGAACAGGACAAGGGCAAGGTGTGTGGATGGGAGGAGGTCAGAGAGGCAGGACTTGGGATCAGTTGCCGGAGAGGGTGGGAACCGGAGGGACACGGAACACGACAAGGTTGAACGGAGGTGCCAAGCGAATACAGAAGGCTGGTTTGGTGTGGGGGTTATACTGAGTTCAGCCTGGACTTCAAGAATACACTCATTCCACAAAGAATTGAACACCTACTACGTGCCTAGTGCCCAGCGTGGTGGGGTGTATTAGGGCTTGGAGCGGCGTGCCAGCATAAATCCGTTCCCTATGCATTTTTTTTTTTTTCAGTCGCGGTCACACCTGTCGGGAACCATTGCCTAGCTGGGGGCCCTCAAGGACGACCCGCGTCTAATCCCGGCGTGTCTGCATTACCGCCTACGGACCGAGTACGGATGGATGGAACGATGGACGCAGAGAAGCCTGCTCAGTACTGGCCAAACTGCGGCGCTCCAGAGCCCGAATCTAGGGAGATCGCGGTGTTGCAACGTCGCGACGGATAGGAAAACCTGGGCTGTCTGCGCTCTTCTGCAGGGCAGGGGTCAGCGTGCCAGCCCAGTCTGCTTCTTTGTGGGAGGTAAGGGAGATGGTTTCCACATTCTGCCCGTTTCTTGATCTGCCCAACACAGGTCATGTCGTTTTCGGTCCATCGGAGTCACCGGGAGGACTTCAGGAAATGCGAGTGGGTGTTAGGATCCCGTGCGGCCCCAGAGCTGAGAGGCGCCCAGGCCAAAGAAGTACCGAGGGCTGGCTGCTAGGGTGAGCTGCGCGTGTCCCTTGCCTCCGGGGCGGGACGGGGCTCCAGCGGGGGCGGGACCAGTGGATACGAAGGGGCGGGACCTGCCGGGCACGAGCCCAGCCCGCCCCGCCCACTCCCCCGCGCGCCTGGGCGCTCGCTCGCTCGCGCTGAGGAAAACGTTGCGCAGGTTCATAAATGGAACGTCGGCGGCGTGAGGGAGCGCGAGGGGGTGTGCGCGCGTGCGCGTGCGCGTGCGCGCCCGGGCGAGGGTGACGGGGTCCCGGCCGCCCCGAGCATCGCGCGCCGCAACCGCGGCCCCGCAGCTCCGCCCCCGGCCTGGCCCGGCCCCGGGCCCGCTCGTCCACCGCCCCCCATGGAGCTGTCAGCCATCGGCGAGCAGGTGTTCGCTGTGGAGAGCATCCGGAAGAAGCGCGTGCGGAAGGTGAGGCTGCCGGGGGGCGGCTCCCAGGACCCCTGTGGGGTCCCCTCGTGTTCCCATCAACGTCCCCTCCACGCTGGGGGCGACCGCGAATGTGGGCCAGAGGCCCCAAGCAGCCCCGCCCTCCTGGGCTCGTCTCCCCAAGTCGCGCCTCAGTTTCCCCCAGCTCCTTGTAGGGCAAGTAGAATAAAAGTTGTCGCCCCGGGATGCTGGGGTCTGCTGAGCTTAGGATCGGACTTCAGGCATCCTGAACGCCATCCTTCCTCATCCCCCCCATTCTAAATGTGGGGGGGACTGAGGCCCAAGTTGAGGAAATGGCTTGCTTGGTGCGTTGGCGTCTGAACTAGGTCTCGAACACAGGACTCCGGACTCTTGGTACCAAGACCTTTGAAGTTGGAGGCGGGGCTTCGGAATAGCTTCCAGCTCTGAAGTCTTAACTGCTGGACTTCGACCTTTCCCGATCGTCTCTACACCCCCACCTCCATCTTTCTCATTCTCCTCTGAGCGCACACCCCTCTGTTTTCCCCACCCCAACTTTCAGCCCCGCCCGGCAGGGCTCAGTGAAGCCGCCTACAGCGCTCTGGCGTCCTTGAAGCTCCTCCCCTCTCGCCTCCAGAACATACACCCTGCAATTAAGGAGGGTTCTGCTGGGTTCGGGTCCCCGCCTCTGGGCTAGACTTCGTGGTCCACACTTCCTGTGCACATGTTTGCAGGGTAGGCTCGCTGCAGCTTGGAGATTGGGGATAACAGTGCTGGGGGAAATTTCCTCTCCTGGCACTCATCACCGTCCTTTTCCCTGTGTCCTCTCTGCAGCCCCTTGGGAGGCTCCAGCGACAGGGCTAGGAGGGGTCGTAGAGGTCACTGCCTCCCATTTGACACAGACAGAAACTGAGGCCCAGGCAGGGAAATGAAGGGGTCCAAGACACAGGACAAGATAGAGAAGGAGGTAGAGCAAGGAGCTCAAGTTGGCTGATTGCCAGTTCATCTTAGGCTAGAGAAAACTCAGTCCTGGCTTCTTGGGCCAAGGATCAAGGTCAAGGTGGATTGTGAGGTTTTTTTCCCACCCATCTCTGAGGGGGTTGAACTTTATCTTCAGGTTGTTGCTGCCCCTCCTTCTCCCATCCTCCAGAATTTCCTGGATTTTAATTTATTCCACTGAGCCCAGTGCTTTTCATGAAGTGTAGCCCAAGCAGGTACAGTGACCCCTTCTGCTCAAGGCCTGTGGGGTGGTGCCAGAGAGTGAGAAGCATCATTCTTTCAGCCATTTACTCAAAATACATTTACTGAGGATCTGTCATGTACCAGGCACCATTCTGAGCCCCAAGGAGGAATACAGCCCATCCCTCACAGAGCTGGCATTCTGACAGAGGAGACACTCAGCACACGAGGAAATAAAAACAGACGCCTTCCAGCTGGGCTTGAGCTACACAGAAGGAGAACCAGGAGGCGGGAGGGATGGCATTAGAAAGGGCAGCCCGGACACGCCTCTTTGACAAGGTGACATCTTGGTACCGAAGTTTCATGTGGGCGGATTTCGCCCAATGCCTGGGGTTGGCCCGGAAACTTTTAAAGGTCCTGGTCTGCTGTGAGGAGCAGAGAGGCCTGGCTCTCTTTTCTAACTACTAGAGGGGCGACCGCCATTTCTGCAGGTGGAGAACCGTCAGCCTTCTCCAGGGTCCTGCCAGGCTCTTTTGGGTTGAGAGTCCTAAAGTCACTGTCCTGTCATCTCTGGGCCAGAGGCCACCTCTCTCAGGAAGGGGGCTGGTGAGATTACAGCCGAGGGATTTTCTATGATTGGAGGGTCTTCTTATCTAAAAAGGAAAGAGAGTTATGGTCTTGGCTCTCAGACTCCAGCTACCGGGTCTTTGGCGACGCACACCCCCATGTGGTTGGTGTTCCCACCTATGGGAACAGTTCCCACACTGTTCCACGTGTGTTTGGAGCTTCTGCCACAGGAGCCCTGGAGGCCAGATGCACTTCTGTGCAGTAGTAGGGCAGGCATTCGTGGGGTCCTCTGGGTCGGTAGGGATCCAGTAGGGGTTTCTGTGGTCTGTGTGTATGTGTTGGACATCTGTCTGCAGAGGGGATTAGAAGACCCCTTACTGTCTTGTGAGGGGAATTCAGGGCAGCTGTACATCTCACTGTGTCTGCTTCTCTTTCTTCCCAGGGCAAAGTGGAATACCTGGTGAAGTGGAAAGGATGGCCCCCAAAGTAAGGTCCTTTGTGTGTGTGTCTGCCTGCCTGTATATCCCTCCACCCACCTTTTGTTGCCTCTCCTGCCTAGCTTTTAGCTTCAGCTACTCTAGCAATTGGCCAGTGGGCATTGATTAAATCATTTTCTCTGACTTTCACGTGCCCCTCTGCCAGCTGAGGGGCTTGGAGCACATGAGGGTCAAGGTGGGCCCCAGCTTCCCTTGTCACCTGCTCCCCTCCAGTTACATGCCCTCTTTTGCTTAGAGGTACCTCTCCCACTCCTTCTGTCTTTTCCTGCCACCAGGAGGTGAAGGCCCAGCATCTCAGGTTCAGAGATGCCTGCGGGCCAGGTAGGGGGACCCCCATGCCATAGCGTGCTGGGCGGGGGTCTGTGAGACTGGTTAAGACAAGGCCAGCCAGTGGGGCATGAGCCCTCAGTGCCACAGAACTAAGGACAGAGTCTGAGCCACCTTGGCTTTGGACAGCACTCTTCAGTCTATAGAGCAGCTTCCCATACAGCCTTGTGAGGTGGGAACCTGGCGGGTGATACTCTTTAAAGATGTAGAAACAGGCTCAGAGAAGGTAAGCAGTTTGCTTTAAGCCACACAGCAAGTGGGGGCAGAGTTGAACTAGACCTCTCCATTTTCAGGTATCTCCTGTGAGTCTCCTCCATCTCAGCTGGCAGGGCAGGAACTGGATCTAGGACCTCTCCCAGTCTCTCCACCTCTCTTGCTGAGGCCCAATCAGGAACCTTCACACCAACCAATCACTTTCCAGCAGGGAGTTGTTGAGGGGTGAGGAACCAGCAAGTCGTGGGACCTACCCATTGGTCTGTGGGTGCCCCACCTCCCTGCCCTGCCTCCCAGAGACTGACTCCCAGGGGACTCCTGGAATCCCCTCTACCCAGAGCCTCGCTGTGTGTGCCACTCGCTTTCTGCTATGCTGGTGGTGGGGGGCTGACCTGATGTTGGGTCCTGGGAGCATCCTGGGGCATGGTGAGGAGGCACAGCAGTGAGGAAGGTGGCCCATATTGCCTCTGCTTCTGTTTCTGCAAAATGGGTTCAGTAGTCCAGGCCCTGCACCCCTCACAGGCTTCTTCACCTTGTGGGGTGAAAGACCTGGGTGAGTGTTCAGAATGACTGCAGGCATCCTGATGACTGGGGTTGGTGGCTGGCCAACCAGATAGTGCACTTGTCTATTCTGCCCTAACTGCCCCTTTCCAAACACCCTGCGATAGAAGGAGGGTCCTTTCCTCCAATGGGCAGATGACAGGTGGACTCCCGGCCTGGGTGAAAGGGCAGTAAGAGTGGGGGAGAGCTAGAAAAGGAAGAGGCCGGAGTGGGCAGCAAGGGCAGCAGGAGCAGCAGGAGCGTTGGCTGCCTGAGTGCGCGCTCCCCTGGCTTCTGCACGGGGAGGCACTGCATGGGAGTGGGGTCCCAGCCCAGTGGCCTTGAAGGTACTGTGGGCTGTTTTTCCTCCTTTGTGGCCTCCATCTTTTGAAAGATTTCCTTCTCTAAGCAGAGGCACATACCACTTAAAAATTCCTTTTCTGACTTATTATTCCCAAATGAATGTTTGCCCATCAGAGCTCCCGTCAGCAGGGAAGGGCCCCATGCTCCAAGGGCAGTCCCTCCATGTGTGTGCTGGCCCGAGCCCTGGCCATGGAGCCCACTTATTTCTTAGCATTCGAGACCACCAGGTGGGCCCTCGTGACTACCTTTTATGACCCCCCCAAGGGGGTTCTGGGAGCCCTGTTTGATCAGTTGAGTGGGTGTACCTCTGGCTCCCCCACACTTTGGTCTTGTTCCTGTCCAGCTGTGACCCCTCGGGCAGGTCCCCCATATAGTGGGACCCTTGCTTTCATATCTCTAAACTAGAATAGTAAAGCCTCTGCCCAGCGTTGTTGCAAGGATCAGATGATGGCTAGACAGCACTGTGTGCGTTCTCTACCCGCCAAGCTCTCAGTGAGTGTTCACTGTCCATAGAGTTCGACAGCTCGGCTTCTAGGTCCCCTGCCCCACCCTCGGCCAGGACAGGGGAAGGGGGTTCCATTTCTCACAGGAGCTCAAAGTGGCCTAGAAACCATTTAGGTCAATCATCAGATGGGAAGACTGAGGCTCAGAGAGGAGAGGTCAGTACAAGGACATAACCACCAACCCTGTGTGGTATGGTACCCACTTCATGCCTTCCACTGCACCACCCCACTTCAGCTGGGGGGAAGCAGCCTGAGTCAGAGGACAAGAGCCAGGGCTCTTTTGTAACCTATTTGGTCTCCAGTCTTCCCTGGTCAGGGGGCCTGGCTTGGAACAGAGGCTGAGAAAGGTGGTAGGGAGTGGATAGTTGGGCAACCTGCCACCTGCAGGCCCAGGAGCCTTCACTAGGGTGGTGACAGCCTCAATGGCGAGAGGGGTCGGATTCTCCTGCTCCACAGCCCCCTCATCACCCTGGCTGGGGAAGCGTATACTAGCAACAGAAACAACAGCACACCCGCCCTGTGACAGGCCCCTGTTATGCTGTTCCATTGCTTTGCCTGTTTTCTCTCCAAACAGCAAACAAATGACTGCCCTTCCTCCCCAGCAGGTGGGGCAGAGGAGCTGTCTTGCTAGTTCTGGAAGGTACAGCAAATGGTACAGAGGGGCTGGGGGCACAGAGAAGGGCTGGAGTGATGGGGCAGAGGATGTTAAAACATCAGCCGCAGGTGCTCTCACCCCAGAGAGACTCTCAGACTCCCACTCGCACTGCATCCTGCCCAGGACCGCCACCTTTCCCACTAGCGAATGCTACCGCAGCTGCCAGGGAGGGCTGTCTCCACAGATCTTTCATAATGATGTTGTCAGTGGGCACAGCAGTGACCAGGCTGTTCATCAGTAAGCCCCTAGTATGATCAGGCATTGGCCCCTTTAACTGACTTGTGGCAACCCATTTTACTGGCAGGGAGAAAGAAACCCTCAGCAGAAGAGTCCTTGCCCAGGGTCACACAGCTGGACTGATTTGAACTACAAGCTGCCTTACCGTGCCAGGACACGGAGGCCCAGTCCCTTTGATACACAGTGGGCTATGGCAAAGGTGACTGAGGATCTCGTGTGTTGGCTTATTGGCCAGTTCAGTGGGAAGAGCTCAGGCGGTGGAGCCAGACCAGGGCACTTTAAACTCTGGGCACTTTAAATAGACCAGAGTCTTTAAACTCTATTTCAACATTTACCTGTGTGACCCAGGGCAAAGCGTTCAACCTCTCTGCACCTCCATCTCCCTACTTGTAAAATGAAGCGCTGGCCTCACGGAGCCCTGCCACGGCTGCCCAGTACAGCACACGGTTCCTAACAGTGACAGAGGCCCAGGAGACACGTTTTTAAAAGGCTGGGTTTGGGCAGCAGCAGCTGAATTCAGGATTGCGGCCCTGGCAATCTTTTGCACTCTCTACGCTTTTGAAATTGACTTAACTAACGTCAACGCTTATTTGCTTGTATTATGTACCACACTGAAGTAAGTGCTTCCCAGGGCTTAACACAAACTAATAGTCACATCAACCCTAAAGACAGGGGCTACACTGGTAGCCCCATTTCATGCAAAGATAAACAGAGGCCTGAATTGCTGGCTCAAAGTCACCACTGCTGGCTTGCCCAGACTCCCACCGACCCGCATCTCATTTTGAGCAGGATTACATTTGAGTTTGGGGCTGGAGAGCCTTGCTCCGTGCGGCTTTGCTCTTTGTAGCGCCCCGCCCCCAGCATGGCCGGAGCCTGCGCATACAAAGCTCCAGCGACCGCCGGAGCCTGTTTACCGTGCCCGGGCTGAGGCTGGCGGTCACGTGGCCGTGTTTACCTCTCAGCGGGTGCGCGCGGTCCCCGCCCCTAACCCCCATTGGTTGGCCTAGCCGTACGCGCTAGTCCTGCGTGCGCGCCGCTCCCGGGCTGCTGAAAGAGGCGTGAGGCGGGGTAAAGTGAGCCCTCGGCTCCCCCAAGGAGTGCTCGGCATCCGCCCAGACCAAACTCGTTACCGTTGCACACCCCACCCGACCCGCCTGCACTCGCCTAGATTGTGGGCTCTGCCACCTGCAGCTGCTGTCGTCCTTGTGCCCGGCTATTCCTGAACCGCGTTTGTCATCACGAGCCTCTGGATAGCTACTCTGCAGAGGGGCATTATTGACTTCCATTTTAGGGGAGCCCAAGGTGTTCCACAGACACTTGTGCAATCCACGTTTCTTTGCCCTCCCCTAGCGTGGAACAGGGCCTCCTGCTGCCAAATCTCATCCCGTCTATTGCCTCAGGTCCCACGGGTAGATTCCCCAGGCCAGTAACAGCCCCCTCTGAATCTACCAATCCTTTCTTTGCACACACTGAGGACTCGGACAACCAGGAATTAGGCAGTGTCCCTCTCCCACGGATGTCTTAGGTCGGTGGGGAGTCAGATATGGTGACGTGTGAAGTACCTAAAGGTGGAGAGGGTGGCCGAGATTGAACCGAGTTCTAGCCACACCCTGCCCGCTCACTGTCTCAGTGGCCTTGGCAAGATGCTTTACCCTCTGGGCCTCAGTGTCTTCATCTGTAAAATGGGGTCACCTACCTCATACAGGTGTTAGAAAGAATGGATAGGTCCTTGGCAGTCCTCTGTTCCCTGCTGCTACTGTCTGTGGTGTGCTAGTGATTCTAAGATGAGGAAGCTGAGGTCCAGAAAAGGTTAGTGATTTCCAGGAACCATAGAGCAGCAACATAAACAAAAAATGGGCAGGGCGATGCGGCAGTGGGCAGGGCAGAGAGGACTAGAGCAAGGCAGCGACATTTCAATAGCTAGAGAAAGAGGGAGGTTGAAGCAGCCTGCAACAGAAGCACGAAACTCCCCTTTCTTGTAACTGGTTTCATCTGAGGAAATGCAACCCTTGTTTTGGGGGAAGAGGGATTGGAGTCTTTGCTAGCCTCTGGTTGCTCATACTGTGGGTTCCCCCATCCCCATATATTAAATATATAAATATATTATATATTATATATAAATATATAAATATATTTTATATATAAATATATATAAATATATATATTTTTATAACCAATTTCAGTTTCACATTTACTCAGTTGCAAACTGCAGTGCTGCTAGAGCCATTGCCAGAGCACCTGGGGCTGCGCTCTGAGGGGCAGGGTTATGATCTGCCCACTGGGACACCAGCTGCATTCATCAGTACCTATGGCAGGTGCCAAGTGCCACAGTAAGGCCATGGAGGGGAGGGTTTGTCCTGCTGGGAATGGGGCAGGGGAGAGGATCTCAGGGACAGCTACAGGGACCTGGCTCTCAAAGGATGCATAGGAGGCCTCTGGAGGGACTGGATCCAGGGAGAGAGCACAGCATGTGCAAAGGAAGAGAGGTGTGGCAGTGCTTGCTCAGGCTGAGCTTGTGGCACTTGGGTATGGGCTGTAAGGTCCTCAGGGCATAGCCCTTCATTGCTGAGGGGACAGGAAGTAGCTGTGCAGCAGTCAGTGGAGAAAGCAGCAGAGGGTTCTGTCCTTGGGCAGTTTGTTGTTCATCACCCAGATTAGTCAGCTGTAGGTTTCACAGTCCCAGGAGAGTTTAAGTTGAAGGTTTCAGCTGGCTGTTTTGGAGACCTTGGGGGCAAGGGCAGTGCCCAGCCTCTCTCTGCTTCCTGACACCTCCCGATGCCTGCTCCCTCCCTTGTTACCCAGCAAGCTGGGGCTGCCTCAGCCAGAATCAGAGCCCAGTATCTGGGTTTTGTTTGTTTGTACACACAGGCACACACACACATTGGTATGTATTAGTATGCATGCACATGTGCCCACACATACTAATGTGTATTTGTATGCACGCACATGTGCACACATATGTTTTACATTTTTAATTTTTATGCACTAGTGTCTGTTTATAGTGAGTGATACTGGTTTTCCCAATTATGGAAGTCATATAGAGTTTTATTTTAAAATAAAATCATATACATGAAAAAGTGAGCTGTTTAAAGTCAGATACTAAGTAAGTAGCGGAGCAGGTGGAGCAAGGATGGCTGAGCTCAGGGAGCGCTGAGCTGTCTCAGTGCAGGGCTGTCCGGCAGAGGGTGGGTACCCGCTGGTCCGGGAGTGGTGAGAGGTCCCCCGGGGAAAGTCCTAGGCAGCCTAGCCCTGTGATCGCAGTCACTAGGCATTTACCAAGTTCCAGCTAGACGCCAGGCGTGACGCAAGGGCACTTCAGACTGGCTTTGAGGGCACAGACGTGTGCCCAAGAGGGCAGGAGCAGCTCAGTCTGGTGAGAGAGGCTGTGCTAAGGCTGTGGTTTAAGGAGGTGCAGGGACAGCAAGGATAATGAGCACAGAGCACTCTGCGTGGCAGGCCCTTCTCTAAACACTTACGCACATGAGCACTTTTTCCAGCAGAGTCCTTGAGGAAGACACAGGGACGTCAAGGCACAGGGCCTTAGGGAAACCGTTCAGGGTCTTACAGCTATTGAGGACAGTGCTGGGGTTTGAACCCAGGCATTCTGGCTCAGAGCCTCTGCCCTTTACCACAGACTCACCTCTTCTGGGAAGGGGACATGGGGCCTCTAGGCCTCGCCCTCTTTCAGGCACCCCATGCTCCTAGGGTGGACATGTGGTCTAATCAGTAGTTGCACACAGACATTTAGAGGGCGGCGTGATAGGTGCTCAGAATGAGGGGAGTTCTGGTGTCATGTGACCCCTCAGAAGGCCTCTGACCTAGCTGGGATGGCCAGGGACAGCTCCTAGGAGTAGGTGACAATTTCCTGGACCAGGAAGGGGCGAGGGCTTGCAGACAGTGGGTCCTGGTAGAGCAGCTGTGGCCTCTGTGAATGGCACGGGCAGCAGGGCAGCTCTGACCTCTCATTTTTCTTCCAGGTACAGCACGTGGGAGCCAGAAGAGCACATCCTGGACCCCCGCCTGGTCATGGCCTATGAGGAGAAGTAAGGGGCTCTGCCTGCAGCGGGGCCGGTTGACAGGCAGCCTTGGAGCTTTCCTAGGGAGCCTGCAGCTCTCAAGCAGGGGCACAGGCATGGGGGTGGGGTCCTGGCAGGGACAGCCCATCTAGTCTGCAGCTGGGGGAGGGTGTTGGGCACCGGCTCCAGGGCAGCTGGAGCCCTGGTTCCTTTCCTGTTGCTGGGTGACGTCGGCCCCTTCCCTGCCCTCCCCAGGCCTCAGTCTCTCTTCTGGGGTTACTGGGGCTTCTGCTCTGGCTTCTCCATAAGATAGAGGTTTCAGTTGCAGTGGTGAACGTTAAAATGTGTCATAGCGATGCCCTATGTAAGAGGGACAATATCAGTGATGCCCATGCATGCCCTTGGGGAGAGCAGAGACATGCTCCCTGGAGATTCCCTCAAAGGAGAAGGCAATCTGATGAACCTCAGAAAGGCCCGGGGTTGTTGGGGTAGCTTTGGAGGTGGGATAGCTAAGTGCTGGTCCACCCCACTTTGCCCTGCCCTAGCTGAGTGGCCCCGGGCAGAGTCACCTGGTCTCAGTCTCCCACATTGGTCAGCGCTCTGCTGACAGTCACAGGTCACAGGCTGATGAGTCCTGGGCAGCTCCTCCCATGGCCATGCGGGCACATCACAGTGGGGAGCCTCTGACACCATGTCCTTTCTCCCGGTGTGGGGGCCCTTGGAGCAGAGTGGAGCCTTCCCTTGTGCTCTGTGAGCCCAGAGGTACTGACCTCCTGCCAGCAGGCAGCCCCGTCCTGCAGCCTCCACTCCACCACTGACCTGTACAGCATGAACCAGTTCCTGAAATCGGCCCCTCCAGAAAACCCGAGACAGGCATGAGGGTCTCCTCTGCCAGACAGGGAAACTGAGGCTCTGAGGAGCTGTGGGTCTTGTCCTTGAGCCTCAGAGCTGGGGAGGAGTCCAACCAGGACCCACCCCAGGCTCTGCCCCTCGCACCCCCTGGGTCTCGTCTCTTCTCACCCAGGAGACCTCCTGCTGCCCATTCAGACGAACAAACACTTTCCTCTGTTGCTGCCTTTGAACAGGAGAGTCCCCTGTCCCGCCACTTCTTCCTGGTTCCCAAGTGCCTGTGGGGCTGTGACCCACGCAGCTGCGGCCCTGGGAGAACCCTGTGGAACACCCTGGAGTGTGGTTAGGGGAGCGCTGGGCAGGCGCTGGAGGCCTGGAGTAGATCCCAGCTGTGGCACCCGCCAGCTGGGCAGTGCAGGGCGAGGCCTCCCCTCTCTGAGCCTCGGCTTCCCCACCATGAGTTGTGACACGGGGACCACACGCTGGCCTCGTGGGGCTTTCCTGGGAAGTGCAGGAATGGGAAGCACTCTGAACCCGTGAATGTGGGCTCACACGTGTGAGTGTGTTCTGACGGTGACTGGGGGTCAACTAGTCATTCTCGGATTCTTCAACACATCTTCATGAGGTCCTGGTACGTGCCAGGCACTGTCCCAGTTGATGAAGTGCCACAGGAAGGCACAAAAGTGACAGCCATCCCTCCCCTCATGTGGCTCTCACCTCCACTAGTGAACGTGCACACTGCCAGCTGGTGATCATGGCTGCAAAGATGGAGCAGGTGCAGGGAGAGGCAGGGGCGGGGCACTGGTCCCCCTGGGCAGTTGGCTGGGGGTGGCTGGGGGTCAGGGGCCCAGTGGGTACTGCAGAGAACGTCTAGGTGGGGCCCCGTGAGTGCAGAGGCCCTGGCGTGAGGGCCTGTGTTGGAGGAGCAGCATGGAGACGAGTGTGGCTGATGGGAGTGGTGTGACCTGGGAACCCGTGCGGGCCCTGGGGCTTCTGGAGGCTCTGGGAGGGCGAGTCAGTCCTGCTGGAGGAGTGGTGTGATATTCTGAGTCAGGAGTCGACGGTCAAGTGCACATCAGGAGCTCGGAGACTTCTCCAGACCCCCCTGTGTGGCCCTGCCTTAGGAGGTCCCTGAGAGGACTCAGGCTTGGTGCCAAGGGGGTGCCAAGGGGGTGGACGGGAGTGATGTCTGTGGAACACAGGCTGTGCAGGGTTTTAATGAAGACAGAAGGGGGCCTGCCAGGGGGCTCTACTGGGGAGTCCCTGCACACCAGGGGGACTGCAAGGGCACTGAGGGCTTGCTGGGACCACGACCCTGCGGTGGCCTCTGTTTCTTATCCCTGGACACGATGGTCAGAGTCTCCAGGTCTGACAGCCACCAGGCTCCGAGTTGGTAAGGACTAGACCGACTGCAGGTCCCCACCTCACCCTCTCGCCTCCCACCTCCCACAGTTTGCTGGCAGCGCTGGGAGTGTGGACTGCAGATAGGAAGCCAGGATCATGTGGCCTGATCACCTGGGCTCCAGGCCCGCCCTGCTGAGCCTGACTAGGATCCCGGGCCTGTCCCTCCCGGGTGGGGACCAGAGCTCAGCATCTTCACCGGCGGTGGGAGTTGTCATAATTTGCCGTATGTGAGTCACTTCACCTCTCTGCCTCGGTTTCTGTGGCATAAAGTGGGACCAGTAGCAGTTGTGCCTCTCTGCCGGGGTGGCTGTGAGTGCTCCATTGTCTGGAGCGCTGTGTGCGCGGTGCCCAGCGTGTGTGTGGTCACCACGGTAAACAGCTCGTGTGAACACAGTGGGCAGGTTCCTGTCGGCAGGATTATCCCTCCCCGAGGCCGTCCCCGTCCCCCCACCCCGCTTCCCCCCTTCTTTCTCTCTTTGCTTTTCCTTCCCTCTCTCCTCCCCCTCTTTATCGTTTTAGTCTTTCTACTTCTCATTTCCATAAATACCGGGGACATCTCCTGTTTCTCTTAAGAGCCCTGGCGATCCGCTGAGAGTAGAGCCTCTTCCTCCAGACACGGACACAAAGCCCAGAGAAGGGAGGTGACCGGCCAAGGTCTCTGTGGGTCCGGGTAGAGCCGGGCCTGGGACAGGGTGCCCTGGTGCCCAGCACAGTGGGTTCTGAGAGAAGCTTCTCTGCCTCAAGGGTTTGGAAGGGCCATCCTGGTGAGCCGCCAGGAGTGGGCACCCCAGTGCCCTGTGTGCTTCTTTCAAATGCTGGTTCTAGGGTCCCCTCCTCAGACTTGCCGAAGCCTGCTCCATCGGGAGGGAGGGCCTCTGCCTGGCACCTTGCCTCCAGGAGCCCTGGGGGCGGATGTGCTGGAGGAAGGGGGGCAGATGCCACCTAGAGGAGGGCGACAGTGGGAAAGGCTTCTCAGGACTGGTGGATTTAGCTGGGCTCAGATTTGGAGACTGGCCTAAGGTCGCACAACCAGTGTAAGACAGAAAAGGAACACTCACGGTTGACAGACTTCTGAAAAGAAAGGGCTTCTTGGCCATCCTGCTGTCCAGCAAAAGACCAGGTCGCGGGCGCGCTGTCCAAACCCCCAGCAGCAGGGCCTGGTGGGGACGTCACCTGTGCGCCGTCCCGGAGTCAGCCGACGGCGCGTTTGCACAGAGTCGGGCAAAAGTAGGTCTATTCTTGTTCATAAGGAAAATAACACAATAATTAAGAAATAAAAATAGAAGGAAAAACTGCTTTGTGTACTCACAACTGTAATCTTTCTATTGCCTGTCCATTATGTTCTAGGGAAGAAAGATGAAAGTTTTGAAAGGTTTTGCACTGGCCAGATAGGGTGGCGGGAAACGGTGAGGCAGGGGCAGGTCTATGACAGGCGCAGAGGCTGTGAGGAAGGAAAAGTTACCACTTGTCACTTACAGGTGACAGTCCTGAGTCCGCTTGCAGGCAGGGAGTGGCAGTGTCTGGTGGCCAGCTCTGGAGGCTGATGCCCTGCCACATGGTTGGGGACTTGGGCCCTTTTCTGTCCTCTGGCCCCTGCTGCTACCAGGCCAACTGCTCGCTCTCTCGCTCTTGCTCTCTCTCTGTCTCTGTCTCTCTCTGTCTCTGTCTGTCTCTGTCTGTCTCTGTCTCTGTCTGTCTCTGTCTCTCTCTGTCTCTGTCTCTCTCTGTATCTCTCTGTCTCTGTCTCTCTCTGTATCTCTCTGTCTCTGTCTCTGTCTGTCTCTGTCTCTCTCTGTCTCTGTCTCTCTGTGTCTCTGTCTCTGTCTATCTCTCTCTGTCTCTGTGTCTCTGTCTCTGTCTCTCTCTGTCTCTCTGTCTCTGTCTCTCTCTGTCTTTCTCTGTCTCTGTCTCTCTGTGTCTCTCTCTCTGTCTCTCTGTCTCTGTCTCTCTCTGTGTCTCTCTCTCTCTCTGTGTCTCTCTGTCTCTCTCTGTCTCTCTCTGTCTCTGTCTTTCTCTGTCTCTGTCTCTCTCTGTGTCTCTCTCTCTCTGTCTGTCTCTCTGTCTCTGTCTCTCTGTCTCTGTCTCTCTCTCGCCCTCGCCTACTGGAATTTAATTTACAGCATCTCAGAATTTCTCTCATGTCGGGGCGCGCTCCTGCCCTCACATTCCTGCCGCCAACCATGTGGCCTGTGCCGTGGGGCCACAGGCAGTGTGGAAAGAGCCGAGTGAGGTGGGCGGCAGGAGGTGCCTGCGAATTCCCTGCTGCTTCAGGCCCTGTTGTCAGCATCTCCGGGGTGGCCTCTGGGGCGTGTGGTGTGCAGCTTGTCCGCGACCTGGGGTTCCGCCTGTGCTCATGTGTCTGGGAGGTGTGTCTGGGGTTTGGGGGCCCCCAGCGGAGCGTCTGTCGCCTCCCTGGGACTCGGTGCAGGCTAGCTTCCCTCCCCTTCCTGGATGGAGGAGTGCACACAAGCAGGAGCCTGTTCTTTCTGTCTGCCATGCGGGACCATTCCCACCTCATCAACTGCCCTGGGACATTTGGGCAAACTCGGTTGTCCCTGGCACTCCATTTTGGGGAGGGTGGCATTGTGGAACAGAGCTCTGGCGTGGCCTGGAGCCCACGAAAGAGCCACATGTGTTTGGAGATGTCACCAGAGGTCTACCTCAGCATCTGGGACAGTAGCTGGGCCTTGCCTTTTGTCAGCTGGGAGGACCGAGGCCCTGGGAGTTAAACGTGTGATCCCACTGTTGCAGCCTAAAGAGAGCACCAAGGAGGAGCCCCTACTCCAGGATTTGGGGGTGGTCTGTGGAGGGTGCCCCCTCCCCCATGGGCTGCAGAGGGCAGGGAGGGGCGGACGCCATACTTTCCCTAAAATGTCACCAGTGTTTCCTTCTCTTCCGCCATCTGCTTTGCACCTCAGGGAGGAGAGAGACCGAGCGTCGGGGTACAGGAAGAGAGGCCCGAAACCCAAGCGGCTCCTGCTGCAGGTAACCCTCCGGCGTTGGCGCCCACCCACAAGTCCTCGCGCTCGCCCTGCCGTTGCCCAGCTAGTTGCGCTGAACAACTGCCCCCCACCTCCCCCCACCTCAGCCCCACCCAGGGCACTGGGTGCAAGGCACTTGGCGGGTGAGGTCCAGTGGAAGGAGTTGGGGGGTTGGAGTGTGGGGCTGGTGGCCCAGGAAGGCAGCGGGGGCGGGGGCTATGGTGGGAGGAAGGGTGGGCATATGGCTGATGGGCTCTGAGAATTTTAAAAGCTTAGAATCTTGTAAATGAGCCTTTTTGATATTCACAGTCCCCAAAACACAAAATTATAATGTTTGACATCCTTAGAAGACAAAAACTTTAGAATTGAGAAAACACAGGACCCTGAAATTTTAGAATTCAAGAAAAGGAGATTCTTGACATTCTGGAACATTCTATGTTTTCTAGAACCATGGTGTTGGTTCTAGAAACGTGTCATTTCTGAGTGAGAAGAACCCTCAGGGCCTCCTTTTCCGAGTCTCCACCGCAGGCGGGACTTACACTCCGCAGCACCGTGCTGCCCAGGCCCGGGTGGTGCTTCACTGGCCTCCCTGCTTTGCATTGGAGAGAGGATGAGTCTGGAGTGGCGTAGCTTTGCAACTGGAGCTGGTTATGTCCAGAGGTTGCTTTTCTGAGCCTGAGTTTTCTCATCTGTGAAACTGGAATGGTAGGGCCGCCTGCTCTCCCTAATTTAGGAAGGCCCCTCCAGGTACATGGAGCCAAAAATGATTCTTCTTGGTCCGTGTGCCGTGTGAGCCACGTCCACCCTCCTGTCCACTCTTGATTGGGAAGCACCTGAGGCTCTTGTCAGAGTAGACAGGCGGCCCCCCACACAGCGGGCACATTCCTTGGGGCTTGGTGTGAACGGGGCCCAGGGAGGAAAGTGGCACCTGTCGGCCATCGTCTCCGTGCTCAGCACTCCCACAGGGAACACACGTCGTCTGCACGGCAGACCTCTGGGGCAGGCGTATCATCCACTGTGTAATAAATCCCCCCTAACTAAGCAACTTCACACAATAAACGCTCGTGATTTCACGGTCTCTGCGGGCCAGGCATTCAGGAGTGCTTCAACTAGTTCTTTAGAGGTTCCAGTTTGAGTTACAGCACTGATGTCAGCCAGGGACCCAGTCACCTGAAGGCTTGTCCAGGGCAGGACCAGCCACTTCCAAAGCACTGCTCACAGGGGCTGGTTGCAGGCGTGCCGGCACTCAGTGTTGGCGGGAGGTCCGGGCCCTGCCATGCGGACTTCTCCGGAGGGCTGCGGTGTGGTCCCCCAGTGTGGCCACTAGTTTCCCCCAGAGCGGGTGACTCAAGAGAGAGCCGAGGGAGAAGCACAGTGTCTTAATGGCCTTGCCTGGGGAGTGCCCCCCGCCACGGCAGGCAGTGTGCGAGGGGACTGCCCACGGTGTGAGTTCCCAGAGGCAAAGATGGCAGGGGCCGTCTTACAACTTGCTCATCGTTTCACTGATGAGGACACTGAAGCTCAGGTAGGCCAGCAGTTTCCCCAGGACTGGATTAAAACCCAGGCCTGGCTTCTGGTGCTCCTGGTCAGTTCTCTTGTGGTGAGGCGGAGAAGGACACAGAGAGTCCCCCTTGGAGAATCACGGGAGAGTTTACTGGGCCTGCAAGCCAGGCAGAAGGAGCGGGTTCGATAAAGCTGCACCTAGGAAGAGCCCTCCTAGCATTGCGGTATTTTCCCACTGCTGTCCCAGTCCGGCCCTCCTCCCGTCACCACGGCAACCCACAGCCCACACCCACTGATGGGCATCAGCAGGTGGGACTGGAGGACGGGCCCTGCGTGTGGGATCTTGCTCCCACCTGGAGATGTTTGACCTGCGGGCCCTCTCCGAGGGCTCCCTCTCTTCCGGGGAACTCTTGGCCTCTGGCGAGAGGGCGCAGTAGAAGAGTTATCCCAGAGCGACCCGGGCCCTCCCAGCATTTCAGCAGCAAGGTTCTTCTTGGACTTGTGTAAATTACCCCCAGAGCCAGTGGATGAATCCCCAAATTGCAAACACCAGTCCTTGAGTATCGGAGGAACCTTCCTTCTGGCCTGTTTTAACAAGAACCAGGCAGGGCATCAACAGAGCGCTGCGCCCAAGTGGGCCACGCGGCAGCTGGGGCTGAGCCATGCTCTGAAGGGATGCAGGGGAGCCCGCCAGCTGCTGGCAGTGCCCACACCAGCCAGTGCTGCGTGTGCCCCTTGGTCAACTTGCCCTGGGGACCTTCAGAGCCCTCTGCCTCACGCCGTCTCCCTGGGAAGCTGCTGTCTCGGCTGTGGGTCCTTCAGTGAGCAGAGTTCCCTTCCCTGTGATGAAGAACAATTCCTTGTTTATCCTCTTCCCAAATCCAGATCCGTGTTTTGTTTCTCTCGCGTGCCCCTCCACAGTGTACCAGAGGCATATGCCTGTGGCCCCCATCCCTGAGCCCAGACAGCCCCGGGGAGATGAGGCTGCCCTGTGGGGCTGGGATTGGGCTGACAGCTGGCTCTGGGCCAGGAGACCTGGGGAAGGGCACCGAGGCGGGAGGAACAGCATGAGCAAAGGCGCGGCAGCGGGCGGGAGGGCCGGGCTGACTGGCCGTGCCCTGGCTTGCCCCCGCAGCGGCTGTACAGCATGGACCTGCGGAGCTCCCACAAGGCCAAGGGCAAGGAGAAGCTCTGCTTCTCCCTGGCGCGCCCACTCGGCAGCGGGAGCCCCGAGGGGGTGGTCAAGGCGGGGGCGCCTGAGCTGGTGGACAAGGGCCCCTTGGTGCCCACCCTGCCTTTCCCGCTCCGCAAGCCGCGCAAGGCCCACAAGTACCTGCGGCTCTCACGCAAGAAGTTCCCGCCCCGCGGGCCCAACCTGGAGAGTCACAGCCATCCACGGGAGCTCTTCCTGCAGGAGTCACCGGCCCCGGACGCCCTGCAGGCAGCCAGCGAGTGGGAGCCTGCTGAGCAGCCCCCTGGAGAGGAGGGTAAGGTGGCCCCCCCAGGCAGGCCCAGAGACCCTCAGAGCTGGAAAAGTCCCTTGAGTCACCAGGCCTGACTTAGCTTAAGGCCCACAGACGGTTTAGGGTGCTCTGGAGGCCACGGCCTGGCCCCAGCCCAGAGCTCTTTCTGTGGTCCTACTCAGGATGAGTTTTGGTCCGGCCAGAAGAGAAACGCAGTGACCTCCCCCGCTTTGTCCAGCCCTGGGCCAGGCCCTGACTCGGCCAAGCCTGGTGTGGGGGGCGCTGTGCTTGCATGCTGCCACCGTCCCGCTTTCCCCACGCTGCTGTCGATGCTGTCCTCCATCTGTCTGTCTGTCTCTCTCCCATGGCTGTAGCAGAAGCAGACGTGGCCGAGGGGCCCCCTCCCTGGACACCTGTGCTCCCCACAAGTGAAGTGACAGTGACTGATATCACCGCCAACTCCATCACCGTCACCTTCCGTGAGGCCCAGGCGGCTGAGGGCTTCTTCCGAGACCGCAGCGGGAAGTTCTGAACCACCATTTTTACTTTTCTTAAACTGTTTTTTGGGGGGCTTGGGGTGGGGACTTCCAGAGATGGGGAGGGGTTGGGGTGGGGTAATTATTTTATTTAATAATTTGAAACAGGACGAGGGAGGAAGACCCCAGCACTCTCCCACCATCCTGCCCCTTCCTCTCTGGGTGATGTTTACAGGGAGGCCTGGCGCTGTTCTGTCGGTCTGGGTGCCATGTCCAGGGCAGAATGGGGACAAGGCCACCATCCCTCAGACAGCTCCATCCCGCTCTTCTCTAGAGACGGGTCCTGGGAAGTACAGGAGGGCGGAAAGGCCTAAACCTGGCCCCTTGAGCAGCCCACCCCTGCCTTTCTGGTTGATTTCCCTTTTCCTTTTTATTGAGGGGAGGGGTCTTTATTTTTAACTTTGCACTCCTGCTTGGGGTTCAGTTGGAGGTTGCCTTTGTCCAGCGTGAGGGACGGAGAGAAGGGGCGGGAGGAAGGGTTAGGGATTGCTGCAGCGTGTCCTGTGCCCGATACCCTTCAGAGGGGTCTCTCTGTCTCCCTGGGGGTGGCTGCCAGTGGAGCACCTGCTGCTCAGCGCTGCCCTGGCCCCCATCACTGGCCTGGAAGAAACAGCGGGTGTACACCCAGCTGCACAGGTGTGCGCTGCACAGCGCTGCTCCTGCCCTGGTGAGTGCAGATGTGTGCGGTGGATGTTGCAAACCTCGTGTATAGAAGCCCCGATCGGGTGACTGTGGGGTGATTCACAGCACAGAAGAAGTTGCCACGGGCACCCGCACTCACCCCACCTGGCACAGCCCATCCCGTGACAGGCCCCAGGCCAGCTTTGTTTGCTGGGAGCTGTCCGCAGGGCTCCCGTCATGGCGGGGTGGCTCCTGCCGCTGCGGGCACACAGGTGTGATTTTGTGGCTTCTCCTGGCCGTCCACTAGCGAGCAAGTGTCTGCGACGGCGGACCGTGCACCCAAGGGCCCTGTGCTTCCTCCCTGGGGCTTGTCCTCTCTGACTCAGGGCGCTTTCCAGCCCTTCCCACCACCCTCTGTTCCTGCCCCCTCCGCCAGCTCAGCCAACATTTTGTGTAGGTGTGGGTGGTCCGGAAGGGAGAGTGTCCCGCCACCTTCTCAGGGCAGCCTCAACTCCCTAACCCTTCCTCCTCTTGTCCTGCGCCCCTCTGCACCCACCCTCCGTGCCGAAGCTGGGGCTGGCCTTATTTTCCTGTGGGGGCGGGGTCTCTGCCCATGTCTTCCTGTGGTCACACTGCAGTGAACAGTGGCTCAGGTGGGTCACAAGCCCCACCCCACCCACCCAGCAGGGGGCTGTGTGTGCCTGGAGGAGGGGCTCTCGTTCTCCAGTTTGCACAGTGTGCCTGTGGATTAGCGGCATCCCTGGCAGTAAGGAGTGAACTTTCCCCTGCCCCGGCCTTGTGGGGCGGGCGCCGGTTTGCCAGGAGAGCAAGTAAAAGCCTGGCTTCTTCCAATCCCCACCCCCCGCCATTGCCACCCACCCTCCGGAGGCGCCTCTCCGCTCCGCTGTGGCGTGAGACGAGGATGGGGCGGTTCCTCTCCAGACCCCTTCTCCCTGAGTTCCCAAACCAAAGACAGCCTGCACCCCTTACTGTTCGTGGTGCCCTGCTGGCAAGATTCTCCAACCCCTGGTCCCTCTCTCCTTCCTCCTTAATTCTTTGTTGTCCAGGGTCAATTCAGTGCTTCCATTGGGGGACAGTCCCCTCAGGGGTGACTTGATTCGCCCCCAGCCCAGGGGGTTGAATCTAGAGGAGCAGGTGGGGGTGGGTCAGGGGAAGGAGGGGCAGCTATGGGACCCCGGGGGTGGGAGGATGGTGGCTGGAGCTGGGTGCCGTCCCAGGACAGGGGCGCCCCGCAGAGGTCACTGAATGCTGTTGGCTCATGGCTTTGGGACCTGGCTCGCTGTTCCCCAGGGGACACAGGACATGTTCCTGCCTCAAGAACACTTTCACAGAGTCAGTGGTGTGGTTTGCAGGGCCGGAGGTTTGGGGAGCCTTGTGTGGAGGGGAGGACTGTTCTGTGGGCAGCAGCAGGCCTGTCCCTCGCTCCGTTCTGTGCGGCCCACAGGTGCCCTGTGTCTCGGAGAGAGCTGAAGCCTGCAGAGCCGGCTGCCTGGGGAAAGGGCTGCGGCCTCCGAAAGGCTCTCCCCGCTCCTCCACCCCCAGAACAGAAACCTCTGTGAGGGCTTGGGTGTGGCCTCACAGGCCTCCTCCCGGCCCTGAGTGTCCCAGCTGGGCTGGGGCCTGGCCTGAGCAGGGCCAGGTAGCCGCTGACCTCCCACCTACCCCACTACCACTGGAAGTCCAGCACTCGATGGCGTGGGGGCTTAGAAAGATTGGACCACCTGCCTCCCCCACCCCCACCCCCCACCCATTTGAATGTAGAAAGACTGGTTGGTACTTTTCTTCTGCTGTGGGATTGGACAGGAGAATGTTCTCCACCCCTGGCGAGGCCACTCGTGAGGGCAGCGGCCGAGCGCTGTCGAGAAGCCCAACGATTGTCATCGCCCCATTGGACCCATTGCCAACCGTCCCCTCCTGTCCTGCCGGGGGAAGGCCCTGCGCTTCGGTTACATGGTGGAGCTTCTGCTTTATAGGCCGCCCGCCTGGCCCCCAGGGCCCAGCACCAGAAGGCTTCCTTTGCACAGAGCGAGCAGCCAGCTTTGTTCAGACGAAATGAATGTACCCGGAGGGTCGGGCCTGAGTCGGAGCCGCATGTGCCCTTCTGCATGGGCATGTGGGGAGAGCCAGGGTGGGCGTGGAGCTCGGCTTTATTTTTGTACTGATACTGGTCAGAGAATGTAGAGCATCTATTTATTCAGATGATTTATCTGGTAAACAAGGCAAAAAATTATTAACTACATTAAAGATGATTTTAAAAAAGTTCTTGGGCCTCAGTTCTTCTTCTGATGGGGCCCCAGCGGTGCCGAGATAAGAGCTGCCGCCTCCAGGCTCAGCCTGGGGTTCAGGTCTCAGCTCTGCCAGGGACTGGCTGTGATCCTGGACAGGTCAGTCATTTCTTTTCCTGTGACCTTCCCGTGTAAGATGAGGATTAGTTTGGTGATGGGTGGGAAATGGAAGTGTGCCCACTTCGGTGGTCAGGGTGCAGAGGCGACAAGGAGTGGGGGGCTCAGGGGCGGCATCTGGCCTTGCTGGGGGCTCTCAGCTAACTCCCTTTACAAAGTAGGGGATTGGCATCCCTTGTGCTCAGCTTCCAGCCTTGACCCTAGTTTTGGATTGCCAAGAGAAGCCCTGTAGGCACCCCGGTATGACTGTCCATGCTGCCTCCCAGGTGCGTTACCTGGGACAGCCTTCCGTGCTGGGGCTGGGGCTTCGCTCTTCCTCACGGGTGGGGCCAAAACTCTCAGGTCAGAGCTGGCTGTTCAAGTCCGCCCAGCGAGGGCACAGCCAGCTGGGCGGGAGCCCGGGTCTCACCCTACAGCCCTTCTGCTCAGCTTTACTGCCCGTGGTCTCTTTCCCACAGTCCGCGGGTCGGAGTATGAAACGGAAACTTTCAGGAATAAACAACGCGTTAAGTAACGGTTTGCGAGCCTTTGGCAGCAGCATGGTGAAGCCTCAGGCCTTCTGCATCTGTCCTTCCAGGATGTACGTCACCCTTTGTCCAGTGTCTCCGCCCTGTGTATGCGGCAGCCCCTCCCTACCCCCATAACTGGAAGTAGCTGTCTCTGTTTGTGTCCAGGGCTAAAGGACAGAGGCCACCACAGGGTCGTGGTCCCAGCAAGCCCTCAGTGCCCTTGCAGTCCCCCTGGTGTGCAGGGACTCCCCAGTAGAGCCCCCTGGCAGGCCCCCTTCTGTCTTCATTAAAACCCTGCACAGCCTGTGTTCCACAGACATCACTCCCGTCCACCCCCTTGGCACCCCCTTGGCACCAAGCCTGAGTCCTCTCAGGGACCTCCTAAGGCAGGGCCACACAGGGGGTCTGGAGAAGTCTCCGAGCTCCTGATGTGCACTTGACCGTCGACTCCTGACTCAGAATATCACACCACTCCTCCAGCAGGACTGACTCGCCCTCCCAGAGCCTCCAGAAGCCCCAGGGCCCGCACGGGTTCCCAGGTCACACCACTCCCATCAGCCACACTCGTCTCCATGCTGCTCCTCCAACACAGGCCCTCACGCCAGGGCCTCTGCACTCACGGGGCCCCACCTAGACGTTCTCTGCAGTACCCACTGGGCCCCTGACCCCCAGCCACCCCCAGCCAACTGCCCAGGGGGACCAGTGCCCCGCCCCTGCCTCTCCCTGCACCTGCTCCATCTTTGCAGCCATGATCACCAGCTGGCAGTGTGCACGTTCACTAGTGGAGGTGAGAGCCACATGAGGGGAGGGATGGCTGTCACTTTTGTGCCTTCCTGTGGCACTTCATCAACTGGGACAGTGCCTGGCACGTACCAGGACCTCATGAAGATGTGTTGAAGAATCCGAGAATGACCAGTTGACCCCCAGTCACCGTCAGAACACACTCACACGTGTGAGCCCACATTCACGGGTTCACAGAGTGCTTCCCATTCCTGCACTTCCCAGGAAAGCCCCACGAGGCCAACGTGTGGTCCCCGTGTCACAACTCATGGTGGGGAAGCCGAGGCTCAGAGAGGGGAGGCCTCGCCCTGCACTGCCCAGCTGGCAGGTGCCACAGCTGGGATCTACTCCAGGCCTCCAGCGCCTGCCCAGCGCTCCCCTAACCACACTCCAGGGTGTTCCACAGGGTTCTCCCAGGGCCGCAGCTGCGTGGGTCACAGCCCCACAGGCACTTGGGAACCAGGAAGAAGTGGCGGGACAGGGGACTCTCCTGTTCAAAGGCAGCAACAGAGGAAAGTGTTTGTTCGTCTGAATGGGCAGCAGGAGGTCTCCTGGGTGAGAAGAGACGAGACCCAGGGGGTGCGAGGGGCAGAGCCTGGGGTGGGTCCTGGTTGGACTCCTCCCCAGCTCTGAGGCTCAAGGACAAGACCCACAGCTCCTCAGAGCCTCAGTTTCCCCGTCTGGCAGAGGAGACCCTCATGCCTGTCTCGGGTTTTCTGGAGGGGCCGATTTCAGGAACTGGTTCATGCTGTACAGGTCAGTGGTGGAGTGGAGGCTGCAGGACGGGGCTGCCTGCTGGCAGGAGGTCAGTACCTCTGGGCTCACAGAGCACAAGGGAAGGCTCCACTCTGCTCCAAGGGCCCCCACACCGGGAGAAAGGACATGGTGTCAGAGGCTCCCCACTGTGATGTGCCCGCATGGCCATGGGAGGAGCTGCCCAGGACTCATCAGCCTGTGACCTGTGACTGTCAGCAGAGCGCTGACCAATGTGGGAGACTGAGACCAGGTGACTCTGCCCGGGGCCACTCAGCTACGAGGGGGCAAGGCAGGGTGGACTTCACAACCTGACCAGCCTTACAAACTACCACACACTGGGCAGCTTTAAGCAACACGAGCCTTCCCTTCCACAGCCCTGGTGGCCAGAGCTTCCTCTGCAGGCTGCCGTGTCGGCCACAGGTGGGGCCTTTCCCCTCCAGTGCGGCTGAAACCTGGGCTTATTCAATGTGCATCCAACCTCTGTCTTCACCTGCCCTTCTCACGCAAGTCCCTGTCCTGGGGTCTCCTCGTCTTATTGGGACACCAGCCGTATTTGATGAAGGGCACACTCACTTCGGCGTGACCTCACCTGAACTAATTCTGTGTGCAGGGACCTTCTCTCCAGTGAGGCCACCTTTGGAGGTTCTGGGGAGGACGTGAATGTCGGAGGGATACTCTCCGACCTAGTACATGCATTTTTCACATTTATCATTGAAAACTTTGTTATGTATGTTGTGGAGATTGCACATTGTGCCACTGTATCTTTATGTATGTATTTATTTTTAGAGAGGGGACAAGGGAGAGAGAGAGGGAAAGAATCTCACACACCCGCAACCCAGCTATTTGCTTCATCTGGGAATTGAACCAGCGATGTGTTGGTTCAGAGGCCAGTGCTCATCCAGTGAGCCACACCAGGCAGGGCTGATCTACCATGTTAATGCTCCTATTTCAGAATGTATAACCCCTGCTTTTTAGCAAGTTACACAGCCAACGGAAATAAAGGCCACATTTCCCAGACTCCTTTGCTGCTAGGTGTGGCCGAGTAACTGGGCCCTGGTCAGGGAGGTATGAAAATAAACCTCGGAGAGCAGTGTCTGGGAGGGACCCTTCTTTAGGAGCAGCTAGCTTGGTCATCTGCCCCTTTCTCTTCCTCTTCCCCCATCTAGCTGACAGAACGCAGACGTTACTTGTGAATACATTTTGGGCCAGGAGGACAAAGTCCCTGCACATCCTGAGGGTGGCGCAGCAGAGAGCCGGCCACTGTGCAGGTCCGCGGGCCCATGAAGTACCCACTCCAAAGTCAACGCCAGGTCACGCCTGTTGGAGGTGAGTGCCCACTGCTGGCTGCGGGGCTGCAGGAGCCCGGGCTGCATCCTGCCCTGGCTGCAGTATTCCTGGAGGTGCTGGGTGTGAGCGGGAAACAAAGAGGGGTCGGGAGTGGGACAAGCGACTCCCTTGGAAGACACCTCCTGGAGGTCCCCATGGGTCTCTGAGGCAGACCGTCTGCTTTGTCCTTTTCTCCGGGACGAGAAGGTGATTTTGGCAGCACTCTCTGGCCAAGTTCAATGACCCAGATGGTCAAGAGTGTGTGGTCTGCAGTGAAGCCACCGTGTGCCTCGCACCACACACCAGGATGGCCAAGGTCAGGGAACAAACTGCTGCCTGGTGGGATACCCAAGACATTCTCTGAAATGATTTTATGGACATATTCCCAGTACATGCATTCCTCTTGCTTGTCCCTCCCCTCGGCTGCCCGCCCAAAATCCCACCACACAAGGATCATCTCCTGCTCCCTGCTGGCGGCCCCACGGTCCAACCCACCCTGACTGGAACTTAACCTAGTTCCTCCCCAGGACAGTCCCCGAGTCCTCAACTCTGAGGTCCGGGGACCAGACACCTTCATTCACGGTCCACATTGAGTGCCTCGGCGGCCATGTCTCTGGCCTAATTCCCAACTGCCCTTTGCTTTCTGTTCTGCTTTTGGGAAGCTCTGGTCACAGACACCCTCTCAAGTCCAATCCTACTGTTACTATAAAATTTATTTAATGTCAATGTAAATGCACCACTAATTTTTTTCCTGTTTCTTCTTCCTTGGAGTCCCTAGGAGACAGCTCCCCCAGTGTCCCCCCAGTGTGATGTGGGAAAGGGTGCAGAGGGGCGGAGTGTGAGGGGGCTGGGGAGCTCCTGGGGCCCAGCCTCTGGAATGAATGAGGCTGGGTCAGGGTCACGGTGGGCAGAACCTGGGACTCAGACACACGGGACAAGGCTCCAGCTTGTATCAAATTCAGACAGCTCTCCAGTCACTGTGTGGCTCAGCTGGGTCCCCCACCAAATGAGAGTGTCCTACGCCCAGGGGCTCAGAATGGGACTGCATTGTAGAGGACCTTCCTAGAGGTGATCAAACTTAAACAAGACACTGAGGGTGGACCTGATCTAATCTGACTGATGTCCTTACAAGAAGAGAACATTGGGACACACAGAGGGATGCCATGGTCTCACCAGCAGTCACCCACAGGGGAAAGGCCATAGAAGGGCAGAGGGAGGGGGTGACCATCTGCACCCAGAAGGACAGGCTCCCAGCCAACACCTCAACCTTGGACATCCAGCCTCCAGAACTGCGAGGGCCAAATGTCTGGTGAAGTCACCCAGTCCGTGGAGCAGTCACTGAATCACCTCTGAAAATGCAGGTGTGTGCGCCCCAGGTGCAAGGAAGCCAGAAGAGTCAGACACTGGAGCCCAGAGTCACAGAAGCTTTATTGGATTTGGCCAAAGTGAACGAAGAGAAAAGCAAGCCCTCTCCAAGTTGTCTCCTCCAAAAGCCAGAAGGCGAGCATTTCTATGCAGCTGGGAGCAGGACAAGGGCGGCTTCAGAGACCTGGAGAGAAGCCTGTTTTCCCTCCAATCAGACTCAGAGCCTGGGGCCCACAGCGGGGCTGGGCTCCCCAGGGACGCAGTCTTCCTCCTGCAACACACTCGGGAGGCCCCTCGGACCCCGAAGTCATCCCCTGCTTGACAAGGAGACAGCACGTCAGACACTTCTGACCCACCTTCCCGAGACAGAGGGACTTGAGCAGGAAGAGCTGTTCCCAGGGGAGCAGCACCATGACTGAGACACAGCTACTGGATTCTAGCTGCCCCAAAGGTAGGGGCACTCGGGGGGCAGGGGCTGGGCCACAGAGCTCCTCAAGCAAGCCCTGGCAGCCAAGTGCCATCGCTGTCTGCTGTGACACTCCTGCACTTTGTGCCCATTGGTGTTCATTTTAATAACAGGATTCGGTTACTGTGGTGAAGTGGGAGGGCCCAGTTAAGGGGTGGGGCCCCCTGTCTGGGGGAGAGGGAGGCCTTGAGGGGTGAAGGGAAAATGGGTGTGGGGGGCACCTGAAGGAGAGAGAGGCAGAGAGGACAGAGCTGGGGTGCAGGTGGTGGGAGGGGAGGGGGCGCAGGAGGGAGCAGAAGTGGCAAGGGGGCTGAGGGAACACTCACCAGAGGATTTCTTCAAGCATCTTCTTCAGAGCATAATAATTTCGACGTATACCCTTCCAATACCTGAAGGACCTTCCACGGTGGTCCACGAAGTTGTCCCAACAGTATTCAAACTCTGATGCAAAGAGGGGAGACGGCAGTCAGCTCTGGCCAGGGAGCCCCTCTGTCCTGACCCTCCCCTGGCCTCGCCCCTCAGGGCCTGGTCTCCTCCCTGCAAGGTGCCATCACTCCTGCCTCAGATCCCCAAGTTCCCCTTCCACTCACTCTCCCTGGGAAACTCCAGGTGCCCCCCAGCCCCGTCCTATCCCCCAGACAGTCCTGCCCCGGCTCCCTCTGCTCTCACCCTCTGGAGACATCACGGCCACTTCGACCCCTGCCTGGTGCAGTAGTTGAAGCCCCTGCTGCTGGTCTTCGTCCTCACACTTGTACAGGCGGGAGGCAGAGATGTTCAGGCTCACGTTCTCGTGCTCCCCCAGGAAATGGACCACCTCCTCTGCACACTCTAAGCAGGGGCTCCAGGACATGAACCAGGTGACATGGTAATTCACACGACGAGACAGATACTGGTCATCGAACCAAGAGAGGAAGCACTGTTCTGCATGGAGAGGCTCCTCCAGGTAGCCGTTTAGGAGGTGGGAGGGCTGTTGGGTGCAGGGACAGGGCACAGTGGGGTCAGGGCTTGGCTGCAGGCTGGGGGGCCGTGTCTGCTGAGGCTGCCTCCTCCTCCAGGGAGACCTGGGCCCAGGCCCAGAGCAGGCAGGGGGCCCGCAGGGCATGGGAGTGGGTTCCTCTCTGGGGTTCACACCTGCTGGGTCTGGAGGAGTCAGGGGTGCAGCTGGGGAGGACCCAGCCACCAGGCCACCGCTTGGGGCCACCTAAGGAGCTGGTGCTCAGCAGGCCCGACTCTCTCAGATGCCCCTCCCTCCAAGACTGCAGAAGCCCGGGATGAGGTGCAGACCGATGGTCAGCAGACTCTCTAAAAGAGGCCTTGTGGACCAGTCCAATGCCAGGGTGCACCGGGATTGAGGGGATCAAGTGGGGACCTCAAGGCCTAAACCTGAAGACAATGGTGTGGGGAGAAGGCTCTGATATTTTACTTGTTTACTTTCCACATCTGTGCCTTAAAGGACAGGACTGTGGGTCCTGTACCTGGTTTCGAAAAACCCCCCAGTAGTAGTCCTCAGGGCAGTCATGCTGTTCTTCCTCTACCTCGAAGCAGAGGTAGGTGGCGTTTCGGTCGGGGGCCTCTCGCAGGTTGCGGAAATTGAAGTTGTAGGTCTTGGGAGGTAACCTGTCCATTAGGATGGTGGGGGCAAGCGAGAAAACAGCAAATGCAGAGTGTTTCCCGGGCTTTCTCCCATCTGGCTTGGCCTCAACATGGGCCCCTGACCCCCTGGTGCTATGCCTCCCCTCCCCCTTCCACCTACTTTCTCCCAGGCAGGCTGAAGGGGCAGAGGAACAGGAGGGGTCTGCAGGGGCAGCAGGGACCCGTGTCCTCTCCCATGGGATCCCAGCTCTGCTGCTTCCAACAGCACAACCCACCCCCACCCCAGGTTCCTGCCCACCCATCCCCAACCCATGTGAATATGGAAATGCGCAGTACGGTGCTGTGTCCCCACAGGCGGTCAGCCACCTGTTAGCAAGGACGCCAGCAAGGGCCATCAGACACCGAGCTTAGTGCACTGGGGGCCTCAGCCTGCTCGCTCAGCCGGGCTCCGCAGCCTTACGGACTCCTTCCCACACTCCAGGGCTCTGCTCTGGGCAGCTGAGTCCCAGGGGCACCGGGACTCTCCCCAGGGCAGGGGGAGGTGCTTGCCCACAGAGGCCTGTCATTCTCACTAGGGGGTGGGCCCTCAGAGGTCAGGAAAGTTCAAGAAGTTGACTGGATATTCTGAAAAAGCTGCTGGCCCTTCCCTGGTGATACAATCCCAGAGGAACAGGGAAGCGCTCTCTGTCTCTGGCTCCGGGTGACTTGTGCAAACACTGTTGTTCTGCATGAGCTCTCTCTCTCTCTCTCTCTCTCTCTCTCTCTCTCTGTGTCTCTCAGGAACAGGGCCGCTGTGTGGGTGTAGCGGCTGTGTGGGCCTGCAGCAGAGGCACGGCCACCGAAGGTCTCAGTCTGATATGAAACAGGAACTGTAAACACAGGCCTTGGTTTCCGCCTGGCCGAAGACTCGGTTGAACTTTTTCCATGGAGGGACGAATGGAGATGGGACATTGGACACCCAGGGGCAGGCTTCCACCAGAATAAACCTTGCCCACTGCCATCTCTGGGTGTAGGTCCCTGCCATGCTTGTCTCCTGATGCTGTGGAAGAGCCTGGTGTCCACGGCACCACCTCCCCCCCCAAATTCTAGTTTTTTAAATGCAGGTACATTCGTGCCTAGCCTTTGTCCTATGCAAGTTTTTTAACTCAAGCTAACAAATAAATTCACAGGCTCCGGCACTGTTCTCAGGGCTCCAAGTATGTGAACTCCCCTTCTCCTCCCCAGAATTCTCTGGGAGTCACTCCATTTCATAGAGGAAGAAGCAGGGCAAGACAAGGAGCGGCCTGGTCAAGTCCCGGGGCAGGTGGGTGACAGAGGGTAGTCACAGCCACAGACTGCGCAGGGCAGTGTGTGCCCTGTGTGGGGAGACGCCCTTTGCCACCCAGTTGTGCACGGCGGGCGTTTCTCTGACCACCAGTGGCCCTGTTCTCTGCTCTAGCTGCTGGTCGCTGAGCTTACAAATGCCAAGGGCGTGGCCTTGTCTGGGAGCAGAGTGGCTTCACTCTTCTGCACACAGTGGGGCTGTCTCAGAGACTCACAGACCCTCTGGCCCAGGGAGCTGCTCTCACAAGGAGTGTGTGTTGGGGTCCACAGCACAGAAAATGGGTCGAAGTCCTTCCAACTACACTCACCAACTGCCCGCCCATCCCTCAATTTCATTCTAATTCTTAAGAATGCACAGAAAATGTAGCTGGGACAGTCCCCATAGGCAGGGAGGGGACATTCAGCCCCACAGACTGGCAGACTGAGAGGGGGACCAGAGGACAGAGCCTGGGGGCATTGTGGGAGGGGCCATTGAACAGCAAGAGTGGGGACATCCCCAGAATGGGGCACAGACCCCCATTGGAGTGGGAGTTGAGGGAAGGAGCCCAGAGGAAGGAGAAGCCAGGGTGGTGGGTGGACAAGGCTGAGGACAGACCCCACAGGGCCCACTGTGCAGGAAGGGGCTACAGAGGGGACAGAGTGGGCAGCAGTACCTGGGCCAGGGCTCCATGACGTCGTCCTCTTGCCTGGCTGTTTCTCTGCTGATTTCTGTCCCCAGCACTGGCTCTGCCTTTGTGCCCAGAAGGCTCCTACTTCAGGAAAGTCCCTGGTCTGAGGCCTCCCAGCCTCCTCGGCTCAGGCCCCACCTCTTCCTGCAGGGGCTGCAGGGTGGGGGGGGGCCCCCCCGGGCTGTGGGCCTCCTGTGGCCAGACCCACCCTCCCTGCTTCCTGGGCCCTGCCCCCTGGCAGAACTCCTCCCCTGCTGCACACAGGCCCCTCTGGCCAGCAGGACAGACATCCTTGCAAAGGGAAAGTGAAAGTGAGCATGACAGAGGTGGGTGGGACCGGCCCTGCTGCAGGGAGCAGGACAGAGGCCCTGCTCCCCTGGGAGGAGCTGGCTGGAGCCCCTCCCACAGCCCTTGGCCCCAGGGCCAGTCCACACCCAGTGCTGGCCCCTCACAGCCTGTTGAATGACCCAGGTGATGAGAAGTCTAGACTCTGGGTCAGGGACAGATGTGCTTGGAGTTCCTGGTTCTGTGCTTGGTGGCCTGTGCAAGTCCCCTCAGCCTTCCCGTGGTGGGGAGAGAGGGCTGCTGCTCTGGTCCCTGTCACCCAGTCGGGTTTTCACATGTTGGGGTGGGAGGCCTCCCGCAGTCACAGGGCAGATGCTGTGCTTCCCTGTGTGGCCAGGCTCTCAGCTTATGCTCTTTGCATATGAAGACGCTTTAATTTTACTGAATGGTTTTCCTTTTTAATGGGTTGATTTTGAGAGAGAAGAAGACAGAGGGGTCCGTGATGGGTGAAAAAGAGCAGGTTACTTGTCCCACTGGTTCATACTTGTCCTGGCATCTTCTTGTTGTGGCCTGACTGGGGTCAACCCTGCTTATTGTTCCTAGTCTGGTAAGAGGGTTTTACTTATCGATTATTTACTCCGTGAGTCACGTGCCAGGAACCCTACCTCAGGGTCAGGGCCAGAGTAGAAGGGGTCCCACCGCCCTGAGGATGGGCTCTGCTCTGTGAATGCAGTCGGTGCTCCAAGCACTGCTTTCTTCACACAGCGGAGTTGATGTAAGAAAAAATGCATTCTAGATGCCCTTAATGTGCATTAAATGTAATGATACAAAGAAGATACCAATATCATCTCTTCCTTGCAGTTAAACGCACATTTTTTCAGCACACTGCAAGAAAAAGAAACAGAACACAGATCAGCAAGGTGTCAGCCAGGGACGCAGTAACCAGGCCCAGGGAGATTAAACACAAAAGGGGACTGATGGGTTTATCTGTGATGTCAGGCCTCTGGCTCCGTTTCCCTGCAGGCGCCGTGGCTCTGTCCTCCTCTGTTGGCTTCCTTCCACACCAACTCCTTCCCCTGAGGTAGAAAAATGATTACAGCAGCACCGGGCCCCACAGCTCCCCCACATCTTCTCCCCATTCCACTCAAAGAACCCAGAGCAGCTGTGTCCAAGATTTCGCAGCCAGCATCCCAGGATTCACACTGATTGAACAGGCTTGGTCACGTGGCACTCCTGAGCCAATCACGGTGTGGCTGGGGTAGAACCCAGAGATCCGCCCACCTCTACCTTAATGGCAAAAAAAGTCAACCAAGCAGCAACGAGAAGGCCAGGCAGAAGGGTGCTCTCACTGACATCAGACTATTCTTAACATGTAGAATACTACCTTGTAATTTAAAATCATTGATGAATTCAGCCTTTTTTTGGGGGGAGGGGTACAAATTAGTGATCCATGGTGTGAAAACTCTGAGGAATTGTGCCTAAAGACGATGCTTTAAAGATCTAATACCTAACGATTATTCTTTGCAAATCCACGTGCTTCTAGTTGCAGATGCTCACACAGTTACTACAAATTCTTACCCCTAATAAATCTCTCCTTCGCCGATTCCCCCAGAGGTAATGATCAGCCAGTGGCATGGAGCATCAGGACGGACGTCCTGCTGTGCCATGTTCTGAACTCTGTGCTCACCAGGCACCAGTCTCCAACCCCATGTCAGTGTCCCCTGCAGACGGATGTTCCCAAGGCAGCACCTCTGTGTGCCTCATCCTCTCTCTGCTTCTGCCTCTTCTGTTCCTTCCTTCTAGCTTCTCATCAGTCTGGTTTCTCTGTTTACACAAAAACTATCATTTCTGCCCCAAAATGGGCCCCTCACCCCAGGTCTACCTGACCTTCCATGTCCAGCAGCTAAAACTGACGGAGAAGACCACAGCATCTGAACTCAACAAAATGCACCTGCACCTTGGCTTGGGCTTAAAGGAAGTAATTTAAAAATCCAGAAGAGATGATCTACTTCCGCCAAGATGGAGGCATAGGTGGATGTGCCGTGCCTTCTCACACAACCAAGTTTAGAGAAAACTAAATATTAGCAACAGAAAACACAGCCAGAACACGGAAAATTGAACTTTTCGGAAGTCCGTTAACAACAAATTCTTCAGCCTGACCGGTAAGGGGCGAAACCAGCGGCTGGTGAAGCGGAATTGCACAGGAGGTCTCGGTCAGACGGACTCAGGCACGGAATCCAGACGCGCGGAATCCAGGCGCAGGGTTGGACCTAGTGAGCGACCGAGCGAGCCATAAGGCGAGCGACTGCGGGGGAGACAGTGGGGGAGCGGTGCTGCGCATTGACTGTGGTCACGCATTTGTGCGTGGGCGGACAGGCGAGGGAGTGGGCGGTTGGACCTGCCTGGCGGGTCCCCGCGGCAAGCGGCAGTGGAGGGCGCCGCCAGTTCCCCACTCTGACCCCACCTCCACATACAGCGTCATAACCCAGCGACTCTGAGTGGCCCGGCCCAGGTGAACCACCTGAGACGCTAATCCTCACCCAGCTGTGAGAAACAGCAGAGGGGGTCGCCAGGTCCCCGCTCTGACCACGCCCCCACATACAGCATCACAACCCAGCGACCTGGGAGTCCAAGGCGCCGCTTCTCACACTTAAAGAGCCAGAACAGACCAAAAATGTCGCAAGATCTCAAAGCCCCAGAGCCCATAGATCTAAGCGATGAAGAAATAGCAAAACTCTCAGACGCACAGTTTAAAACACTGGTCATCAGGATCCTCACAGAACTGGTTGATTATAGCCACAAATTAGACAAATATATGAAGGCGAAACTAATTGAAATGAATGGAATTGCACAGGACACCAATAGCAATGAAAAGGAAACTGGGACTCAAATCAATGGAGTGGACCAGAAGAAAGCAAATAATGGCCAAACAGAAAAGAGTCAAGAAGCAAGAATTCAAAAAAATGAGGAGAGTCTTAGGAACCTCCAGGACATCTTTAAACACTCCAACATCCAAATTATAGGGGTACCAGAAGGGGGAAAGGCACAGCCACAAGTGGAAAACTTATTTGAACAAATAATAAAGGAGAATTTCCCCAATCTGGCAAAGCAAATAGACTTCCAGGAAATCCAGGAGGCTTACAGAGTCCCAAAGAAGTTGGACCCAAGAAGGAACACACCTAGGCACATACATCATCATTACATTAGCCAAGATTCAAATGAAGGAGAGAATCCTAGAAGCAGCAAGAGCTAAGGGGATAGTCACCTACAAAGGAGTTCCCATCAGACTGTCAGCTGATTTCCCAAAAGAGACCTTACAGGCAAGAAGGGGTTGGAAAGAGGTATTCCAAGTCATGAAATCCAAAGACCTACAACCAAGATTGCTCTACCCAGCAAAACTTTCATTTAGAATGGGAGGACAGATAAGGTGCTTCTCAGATAAGATCAAATTCAAGGAGTTCATCATCACCAAGCCCTTATTATATGAAATGTTAAAGGGACTTATCTAAGAAAAAGAAGTTTAAAGAAACATGAACAGTGAAAGGACAACAAACTCACAGTTATTAACAACCACACCTAAAACAAAAGCAAACTAAAAGGACAGCTAGATCAGGAGTGGAAACATAGAAATGAAGATCTCAAGGAGGGTTAGCAACAGAGGAGTGGGAGGAGGAGAAGGGGGGAGAAGGTACAGAAAATAAGTAGCATAGACAGTAGATAGAAAATAGATGGGGGGGGCAAGAATAGCATGGGAAATGTAGAATCTAAAGGAATTGAGACACACGGTCATAAACTAAAAGGGGGGGTAATGGTGGAGGGGAATGAAAGGGGGAATAGAACAACTGTAACAGCATAATCAATAAAAAAATTTTAAAAAAAAGAAGAGATGATCTTGCACCAGGTTCCACACCTGGTCCAGTTAGCCATGGAAGCCTGAGGGCCCACCAGTGTGGGAGAGGAGAGAAGAGGCAGCAAAGGAGACACTGGTTCAGTAAGTAATTCAAGGTGTGTCTACAAATCCTTTGGAACATCGTGACACCTTCTCTAAGAGTACCTTCCAAGGTCAGTTTATAAAAGCAACACAGACTATGCTCCCCAGTGAGTGGAAAGCAACACTGAAGTGGACCAACTAGCAGCAGGGTAAGCCCCTGGTAGACAGAAAAACCTTTGTTTCCCGGTGTCACGAGGAGAGAGCTGGCCTGTCACACACCCAGGGCTGGCTGCACGTCTCGATCTCACTGAGATCTGGGTGGCTGCCGAGCTGATTCGTCCAGGAGCTGGAGAAAAAAACATGGCCATAGCTCAGATTACACCTCATACCTCGTCACCTGGGCTGTACCTCATCCCCATGCCAGGGCTGTTGTGTCTTTGTTGGGGATCCTAATGACTTCTCCATCATTAGAAGTTACTCGTTACTTTGCTGTCCAAAGCTGAAACATGTATGAGCTATGGAGACAGTGGAAAGACATGAGCCTTGCTGAGAGCCTCCTCGTCTCTCAGAACAGAGACCTAAGTTCTTGGTCCCAAACACTGACTGGCAGTAGATGCCCTCACTAAATCAGCTTCTCCTTCTCTCCAACCTTTAAACGTGTCTCCAGACAATGAGCAAGATGCTTGTGTGCACTACAAGACCACCTGGCCCTGATTGCACTGTGAATCTCTGCCACATAAGAAGAAATTAGTCAGAGGAGGTGGAGGAAATGTGGCCTTTGGGAGCGTCAGGACCTGCGTCTGAGCCCTAGACTCACCACAGAAGAGCAGTGGGATCCCACTCAGGAGGCTTGTGTCTATGCACCTGATGGCTGACTGGGAAATTCGTGAGGACTCTCCCATAAAGACTAAATTTGAAAACCTAGAATCAGATGGCTGACATAGTTGAATCTCTAATGTTAGCCCCTTTGCCTTCCTTCATGGCAGGGGTGAAAGCCAACTTTCTTCCATGTACTGAGTTCTGGCTCTTTCTCTCACACCCAACGAGTTGTCAAGTCAACCAGCACATATTACACCTACTGTATACACTGGCAAGGAATCCAGAGTCCTGTGTCTCCATGCGCATCTCTAAACTCGCCCTTGGGTGGGATCATGTGCTTCCCAGCTTCCCAGAGGACTAGATGACTGTAAAACTTTGTAAAAAATGATGACAAGGGAAAGTCCTGTTTTCTTCTCTTGGAAAGGTCTCAGCAGCAGAATTTCATAAGAACTAAGTATGTTTTTTTTCTTCTCTCTGGCTCTCATCTCCTGGCTCACTTGGTTCCCAGTTCCTGGGAGGGGGTGCACAGGAGTCCCCAAAGCCCCATGTGGAAAATGGAGTAGCACTGGAGATCAGCAGCTGTGGTTCAGCACCACGGACAGCTCCAGACCTCCCCCTCCTGGCCCATGCAGGTGAGTACTTTTGATACTAGCCCTTGGCCTTACTGCCCTTTTACAAGAGTTGGTCTGAGGGAGGAGCCTCCCTTCCTCTCATTGGCTTGCCTCCTGCTTCTTGATTAACTGGACCTACTCCAGAACTCCTGCTCTGACCTGGTAGAACCTTCCCCTCAGGGCTGCAATCCAAAAATTCCCCAGGAACTCTTTCCATTTGGACCTGTGCATGGCAAATGGAACATTCAGTGGTCTGTTTGTGGGACAAGCAGATACCAAGGGGCTGGGCATTTGTGGATTTGCAGGAGATCAAGTTTTAAGCCAAGTCACAGTGCTTTTCTGCTTCAAGCCTCCTACTCAGGTCAATGACAAGAGTACCCAGCAAGGGAAGACAAGAGTGGAGCCCAGAGTGTGGCTGACCCTTTCTTGCTGGCCTACCTGTGGCACCCGCAAGGGCTGACCCCTCCATCTTCAAGACTCCACTCTTAGTGTGATGCCTCTCACAGCAAAACTCCTTAACTGGCAGTCCTTCTTCCTCCTACCCATCACTGAAGGCCTTGAACGACAAAGTCTGGACCACTCTGCTTGCTCTCTGCCTCTGTCTTCCTTTTCTTCTGTCTCAAGTCTCAGGATTCACCTCCCTGTCTTTGCCTCCAGAATCTGCTTCACCCCTCTGAATTCTTAAATCTCAGTTCCTTAGACTAGCAACGTGGAATCACCTTTGATTTTTCTAGGGAATGTCCCATCTTCCCTATGAAAACTGCTAATGAAAACTTCTTATCATGTCATTAGAAAAAGTCTCTAAATCACTTAGTCATCCAATATTTTCTGAACCAAAATATATATACACTGAAGAACAGGGTGTTATTTTTGCGTATAATTAAAAGTGCCAAATCATTATATATACTTATATTTCACCCATTTCTATTTTATCACTATTTTTGTTTTCATTTTTGGCAACTAAAGCATAAGTAAAGGCAGAACAAATAAACAAACACACCCCATCTACTTATATTGTTTTCTTTAAATATTCTTTCCAAGCATTGAGTTTATTTATTTATTTTTTAATTATCTTTCGTCTTTTCACCCATCCCCAAACCCTCCCCTCTGACAGCTGTCAGTTTGTTCTCTGAGGGGAGAACACAAAGCTTGTTGACCAGGGGCAATGCTAACCTCCCTCTGCTGTGTAAGCAAATGGTCGCAGCCCCACCTAACCCCAGAACAGGAATCATACAAGCTACCACTGTGCAACGGGGTCAGGCCAGGGGCCTGAGAGACCCAGCAACTGAAAATGCAGACCAGGGTGGGTACTGGTGGGTGGAGGGACAGAGATAAAGAAAACTGAAGAGTTTCCTCTCAAAATGAGTCTGCAAGCCCCAATTCCCAAAACCTACAAAGAAATCTAATGCTGAGAAAGGAAGTTGATGTGCACTCGCACCAGCAGTGTCTGTGGTGTTGTGGATGCGATGAACAACTTCATTAGGACTGCAGAAGTCCTGTGGAGAAAAGGGACGGCAAGGCCACTCTCTCAGTGAGAGAGCACTTCAACCCTTGTGGAGACAGGCTTTTATTGCTTTTCCAGGAGCATTTCCTCAAGGAATGTCTTCATTCATCATTGTCAGGCAATAATGATCAAACAACAGATAACATCCAAAGAACTATGAGGGCTTGTTCTAAGTCAGGGTCAGTTAGCTAAAGGGCCATAAAACTTTGGGAAACAAGCTCAAGTCATGCTTGGACTCTTATCAGAAAATTGAGGACATTCTTAGCAAAGCAGGTTTCATAGGATTTTATGCATTCTTTCTTAGGCCTGATCCGGGGAACCTCTGGTTCCTGCTCAGGGCTGTACCACCCTCCAGCATTGTTTCAGGTTTAAGTCAGGTGGGGCAGGTAAGGCAGCCAAGAGATTAGGAGACTTGAAGATGGAGGAATAGGTGGGAACACTGTGCCTCCTCGCACAACCAAGTTTAAAGACAACAAAGTTTTAGTAACAAAAACACAGCCAAAACACATTAAATTGAACTGTACAGAAGTCTGACAACAATGAACAATTCAGCCAGACCAGTAAGAGGGACGGAGTCAGCGGCTGGTGGAGCGGAGTCCGGCAGGCAAAAGTGGCTGGACTGACCCAGGAGCACAGGCAGCAGTTGGAGGATCCCAGGTGTGGGGTGGCAGCGGGCAGACCCAGTGGGGGCGCAAGGTGGCTGGCTGACTGTGGTCACACATTCACACTCAGATAAACCAGGCGAAGGAGCAAGCAGTGAGACAGACCACACAGGCTAGGGCCCCAGTGCCAGAAGTTAATGCCTGAAAGCACCAATTGGAGAAACTTTTGGGGTCGAGGTGCCGGGAGAAGCTCCCAGGCTCACAGAGAGTTTGTTGGAGAGACCCACAGGGTCCTGGAGGGTGCACAGGCCCACACACCTGGGAGCTGGCACTAGGGGGGCCCAGTTAGCTTGTGGGAAATAGCAGAGGGGCCTGAAATCTGAGAGAGAGCTGGACAAACGCCATTGCCCCTCTCTGAGCCCCCCCCCTCGCCACATACAGCGTCACAACCCAGCAAATGGGTTGCTCCACCCTGGTGAACACCTAAGGCTCTGCCCCTCATACGTAACAGGCACAAACAGATCAAAACATGGCTCAAGAACAATTCAGAGCTCCATAGCCCATAACTCTAAGTGAACAAGAAATAGCCAACCTATCAGATGTACAGTCCAAAACACTGGTAATCAGGATGCTCACAGAACTGATTGATTTTAGTCACAAATTAGAGGAACAAATCAAGGCTAATTGAATTGAAATGAATGGAAATGCACAGGGAACCAATAGTGATGGAAAGGAAACTGGGACTCAAATCAAGGGAGTGGACAAGAAGGAAGAAAAAAATGACCAAACAGAAAAGAATGAAGAAACAAGAATTCAAAAAAATGAGGAGAGGCTTAGGAACCTACACGACATCTTTAAACACTCCAACATCTGAATTATAGGGGTGCCAGAAGGGGAAGAGGAACAGCCACAAGTGGAAAACTTATTTGAACAAATAATAAAGGAGAATTTCCCCAATCTGGCAAAGCAAATAGACTTCCAGGAAGTCCAGGAAGCTCAGAGAGTCCCAAAGAAGTTGGACCCAAGAAGAAACACTCCAAGGCACATCATAATTACATTAACCAAGATTAAAATGAAGGAGAGAATCCTAGAAGCAGCAAGAGATAAGGGGACAGTCACCTACAAAGGAGTTCCCATCAGACTGTCAGCTGATTTCTCAAAAGAGACCTTACAGGCAAGAAGGGGCTGGAAAGAGGTATTCCAAGTCATGAAATCCAAAGACCTATAACCAAGATTGCTCTATCCAGCAAAACTTTCATTTAGAATGGAAGGGCAGTTAAAGTGCTTCTTAGATAAGGTCAAATTCAAGGAGTTCATCATCACCAGGCCCTTATGCCACGTCCAACACTAACCATGTCGTCTGACAAAGTCACGGCATGGGGACTACGACCTCACAGAAGCATGTTCCGGCCAGGTGGACGTGGCATAAGTGGATATATGGTGTTGATTGTGTTTGTGCTGACTCTCGGTATTCTGAAGTTTACTTTTCTGATAATTTGGAATCTCCTAGAAATGATGGCTATTCTCAGAGCTGACCAACAACTAGGTCAGACTGAGAAAAATGCCACCTTGGTCTTTGCCCAAAATAATACCCTCTCTGGGGGCCCAGAGGAGGAAAGGCCCACAATGTCCAGTGAGTCCAAGGGGAAGAATATTTCCTTCCCTGACCCAGTTAAGCAGATGCAGGACAAGTTAATATTAGGTAGCAGGGAGCCAGAATTACCCAGAGCGCTCCCCCAAGTTAATCCCCTCTAATGAAATAGCCCCTGAATGTCTAAAAGTTGTTGGAGTAACAGCCCCTCCTTTACCT